CTCTCTCTCTTATTCTGTCATATGCATATATGTATACATGTATTAAGTGTCAGCTTTAATGTCATTATATTCTTGTCGCCACGTTCGCCTTTTCGACCGCTTTCTCAGCCTACGAATGAAGAGGTTGACTACTGCGTGCCATATTACGGTCAAACGGTAATCAATAACGTCGTTCTGGCCCGCGGTAGCCAACCTCTCTCTTTCTCTCTCTCTCTCTCTCTCTCTCTCTTATTCTGTCATATGCATATATGTATACATGTATGAAGTGTCTGCTTTAATATCATTGTGTTCTTGTTGCCAGGTTCGCCTTTTCGACCGCTTTCTTAGCCTACGAATGAAGAGGTTGACTACTGTGTGCCATAATACGGTCAAACGTTAATCAATAACGCCCTTCTGGCCCACGATAGCCAACCTCTCTCTCTCTCTCTCTCTCTCTCTCTCTCTCTCTCTCTCTCTCTCTCTCTCTTATTCTGTCATATGCATATATGTATACATGTATGAAGTGTCTGCTTTAATGTCATTGTGTTCTTGTTGCCAGGTTCGCCTTTTCGACCACTTTCTTAGCCTACGAATGAAGAGGTTGACTACTGCGTGCCATAATATGGTCAAACGTTAATCAAAAACGTCGTTCTGGCCCGCAGTAGCCAACCTCTCTCTCTCTCTCTCTCTCTCTCTCTCTCTCTCTCTCTCTCTCTCATATGCATATATGTATACATGTATGAAGTTCTGCTTTAATGTCATTATGTTCTTGTTGCCAGGTTCGCCTTTTTGACCGCTTTCTTAGACAGATGGAATAAAGAGGTTGACTACTGCGTGTCATAATACGGTCAAACGCTAATCAAGAACGTCGTTCTGCCCCGCAGTAGCCAACCTCTTTTTCTCTCTCTCTCTCTCTCTCTCTCTCTCTCTCTCTCTCTCTCTCTCTCTCTCTCTCTCTCTCTCTCTCTTATGCATATATGTATACATGTATGAAGTGTCTGCTGTAATGTCCTTATGTTCTTGTCGCCAGGTTCGCCCATCCAACCACTTTCTCAGCCTACGAATGAGTCGGTTGACTACTGCGTGCCATAATACGTTTTAACGTTACTCAATAACATCGTTCTGGCCCGCAGTGGCCAACCTCTCTCTCTCTCTCTCTCTCTCCCTCTTGTGGAAACATTTTCTCAGTGACGTTGACTCACGACCTTATGTGCTGTGTAATTATTTAGATGRAACCCGCCATTGCAACAGCCGCAAATGCTGGAGAGACCAACATCATGGAAACAGAAGCCATTGTTAGTGGTCTTTCGCCTGGAAGTGAGGTCAACGAAACGACAGTTCATCAACAGACCAGCGGCGCGGGCACAACAACTGCTGCATGTGAAGAGGTGTTCACCACAATTCATATGGAAACTGAGCAGATGCTTGCTGACGTGGATGACAACGATAGCGGTGCACGAGGGAACAACGTTGTGATAGAGAAGGTGGGTGGAGAGAGAAACGAGGAAGATGTTGACATCGAGGGTCCTCACAGTGGATGCATTGTCACAAATGCAAATGTGAGAAAGACAATGGAAGGAGATAAATACCTGTACGATGTGAATTGGGTATCAGGTCGTGTTCAACCAGGTATCGTTGGAGGTGTGCATTGCTTTGCTTTCAAGGTTGCTGATCAGTGGGTTGCTGTTCCTGCCCTAAAGAAAGAGACATGACGTAACGTATGTCTGTCATTTATCTGTGACAAAGTGTTGAGGCCGAATGATGGGACACCGACTGAGGATGCAAGCCGATACGCATTGGAGATGTACCGTGTTCTACAGGCAAAGGGTGAGTTGCGGCTAAACGATTTCCTATATGACAACTTTGACTGCGGACAGCAGTGGGTGTTGGGTGGCCAGCAACGCAGGGGGGGGACGCCAGTCAGCCAGGACGACGCAAGAAGGGATCCTCGGCGGGGTTGGGTGCCATCTGCAATCCCATTTGGATACGGCCGTGTTAAGATGCAAGTGCGTGATATGATGGGCAATGTGTGGAGCACGCATTACGTGAACGGCATGTTTTCCTTCCGCCATTTGGACAAAGAAACGACTGCAGACGAAAAGGAGGCGGTGACATGCCGGCCGCGCGATGCACGCATCTTCGACCCGCCAGTTGGCAATCCTGTCGAGTTTGCCCTGGCTGAAGGAACGGTGTTTGGTGGTGAGAAGAGCATCACATATGTCCACGTAAGGGGGAAAGAAGCCACATTTGATGGCATCTGTATAGACGTATGGGACCATGTGGCAATGCGGAAGGATGTGGTTGCAGCCAGTAACATTGCGGCCTATGTGATTCAAGAAAGGCAGTTGTACCAGCATGTGGGTCGTGACATGTACGGGTACCGTGTGAATTGGGTACCTGGTTCTTTGCATTCAGCAGTTGTTGATGGCAAAGTGACACTGTCAGCAAGAATGCAATCTGGTGAGTGACTGCCTTTGGGTAAAATGCATGCTGGCATTGTGGAGCATTGACAGTTCTTGGTGGTGGTGACACGTATCTCCGTTTGCAATCCTCATGTGAAGGACCGAGGATTGCTGGAGGAACACGCGCAGCGTTGCTGGGAGAAGATAAGGGAGGAAGAACGGCAACTGGTGTGCATGGGATATGACTCCTATAATGACCAGGCGATGTGGTCGATCGTGGAAGACTCGTGCACCGAGCAAGCGCAACCCTCGACAGATGGAATGTTTCTGGAGGTCGTTCGACGCAGACGTGGGTGCACATCACTTCTAGGGTGGGTCCCTGTCGTCTGTCCCATGACATATGACCATGGTGAACAGATGTGCATGAGATTCAGAGACCCTCTGGGTGTCCCTTTCCAACTCACCTACAYAGACGGAMTGCTGCGGCACATTCAATACRTGGGTGATGACGACGCTCGTGCTGCATCGAATGGACAACCAACAACAGAGCAGCAGCAGGACATTTCACATTTGCCAAGTCAGGTCGATGGCCCGGAAACAGCAAATGATGGGGGATGTTTTAATGCAGAACTCGACGATGGTGACACCCCTGCGGAGCACGTGACAGGGAGGGCAGAGAAGAAGAAGAAGCAGTGCACATCTAGGCCGCCTCGTGAACCTGGGAGTTCAACAAAAGCAAAAGGCAAACAAAAAGATGTCCCAGATCGAGGTCAGACTTCCAAAGCAGCTGCTGCCCCGGTTCAAAAGCGCAGGCGCCGCGCAGGGATGGCAGCATTGGCAGAAATTCGGCAACTCCAGCGATCTACTCACTTGTGCATCGCTTTGAGGCCGTTCATGAGGGTCGTGCGCGAGATTGTTGAGAAAGAAATCACACCAGGGCAATCTATCAGGTTTCAGATGAACGCCATACGTGCGTTGCTAGAAGCGGCCGAAACATATCTCATCAACCATTTCGAGAGAACAAACATCATTGCTATCCACTGCAAGAGGGTGACGATCCTGGTGAAGGACCTGAGGCTGGTTGATAACTTGGGCAAGGCTCGCCGGGAATACAAATATGAAGACATTATCGACGAGCAGAAGAGAGCGAAAAAGCTACTGAAGATCAATGCTGCAAGGCAGGTCACGAGGGAAACGCAGGCGGGGAGGGGGGTGTCTGAGAAGACAGCAGCAACACGCAAAGGAGGTGACACTCCAGCGGGGTCGTCGAAGAGGAAAGGAGCACCGCGCAAAGGCAATCCAGCAAAGAAAAGCATGGCACGCAAATAAGAACACAGTGAAGACTGCGCTGAGACCGGTCCGCACAAACACAAATATAATGTGTATGAGTGTGTAGGTGCGGTGTTGACTCAATACTCAGCGACGCTGTGTGCTCACTGCTGTGTGTTGTGTGCTGTGTAGTGTAGTGTGTTGTGTGCTGTGTAGTGTGCTGTGTGCTGTGTAGTGTGCTGTGTGCTGTGTAGTGTGTAGTGTGTAGTGTGCTGTGTGCTGTGTAGTGTGCTGTGTTGTGTGCTGTGTAGTGTGTTGTGTAGTGTGTGTGTGTGTGTTGTGTAGTGTGTGTGTGTTGTGTGTGTGCTGTGAGCTGTGTGTGTGAGTGACTGTCAAACTGTGTGCTGTGTAGTGTGTGTGTGTTGTGTGTGCTGTGTGCTGAGTGTAGTGTGTGTGTGCTGTGTGTGTGTTGTGTGCTGTGTGCTGTGCTGTAGTGCTGTGTAGTGTGCTGTGTGTTGTGTTGTAGTGTGTTGTGTGTTGTAGTGCTGTGTAGTGTGCTATCTGCTGTTGTGCTGTGTAGTGTGTGTGTGTGGTGTGTGTGCTGTGAGCTGTGTGTGTGAGTGTGTGTGCTGTGTGCTGTGTGGTGTGTGTGTGCTATGTGTGTTGTGTGCTGAGTGTAGTGTGCGTGTGCTGTGTGTGTGCTGTGTGCTGTGTGTGTGTGCTGTGTGCTGTAAAGTAACCTGTAGGGTTAGATTCGTAACTTTATTTGGCTGAGGGCTAACCGCCAACCTGCCTGTGAGGAAATTCGTGAGGCACAGATCTGTATATCCGGGAAAATACAGGCCAGGTACTAACCGAATTCGTACAACTACCCTAACTGCCTATTGCAGGCCCGGGCTACCCCTACGACAGACAGGCCCTACACGGCCTATGCTGCTAGACGGTCCTATAGCCTATAGCCGGGTCTGGTAGAGGCCGAGAGGCCGAAGCAGCAACGGTACCGGTCGGTCAGTCAGTCCGGTCTAGGTCTAGAGAGTAGATAGATAGGATAGGCCCACCGGGTGAGCACTTTTGGCCGGGTTGGACCGAGGCTCTACAGTGGTGGTTCGTTGGGTGGTGGCAGCCATAGCTGACTGTTCCTTCGTCAGAGTTGTCCATTGGCACTAAAGACTTTATCGCAGGATTTCTTGTTCATCAGGGTGGTTGGCGCTGGCCTCTGGGAGGCTGTTCTGATGCAGCACTTCTAACTAGGTGTAGGATAGAGAGTGGGGTGTGAGTACTGAGTGTGGCGACATACTCGAACAAACTCTGTTACGATAATTGTATGAGTTGCTCATCATCAGTGACCTTTCCGATTGTCATCTTCGCAGGTTCTTTCTTGTGATTGGTTGTTGGGAGTTGTGTCACAGAGTGAGAAACACTGCGTGTCCTCTCCCCATCTGTGCATGTCTGTCTTCCGCTACTTATTTTCACCTGTGTGCAGTGTGGACTCTGTCTCCTCTCTCCCCTTCTCTTATGCATGTATGGGCATGTGTGAGATTGTGTGTGTGTGAGTGGCGATAAAATTCGTCAGGCAACCAAGTTCATAACAGTGAAGACTTGTGCTCATTCTGGTTGTTGACGATGCATGCTGTGAACACACTGACGTTTTCATGGTGTGAAGACTTCTGCCATTGTGAGATACACAGCAAAGAGAATATGTGGAGAGGACTTGTTCTTACGTGGACTTCGTAATTTGTGTTGTTGATGATGAGCACAGACAACGCCGGGCAGATAACTTCTGGTAACGAAGGGGACGTGATACTTTGTTGAGCATTGAATCCAGAAACTCTTGATTGTCTTATTGGATACTGGTTATAATAATGCTCATAACACATGAATGATCGAGAGTCTGTTTGTGTCTTAGAGTTTGTGTGAGTGTGTGTGACACACTATTCACTAATTCTCTGTCTGTTTGTGTTGTCTTATGCGCCGCACGGTTTAACCACCGAAGCAGAATTGTCGAACCAAAATCTGCATCTTCCCAAGCACTCAGTGTACAGTGTACGCTGTTGCTTTCGTCGAGGAAGGTATCGTTTCCTGCGTACCTTGAAACTCAAGCCTGCCCTCACTCTCTTGCTCCTATATCCCATGTCCTGCTCTCCCTCTGTTTCTTTTCTTGTCCCTACAGCGTGCACACTCCCAACTAAAACACACTGATGACGTCTGCGGTGGTAACGGGAAGTGACTGTGAAACTTCCCAAGTTTGAGACATTCCATGGCGTTGGTATGACACACGGACATACACACGGACTTACACAGGCACACGGACATACACAGACACACTTACATACACCCATACACACACTGACACAGACACAGACACAGACACAAACACACACGTACACGGACACAAACACAGACACAGACACAGACACGGACACACAGGCACACAAACATACACAGACATACACACATACATATTCACACATACACACACACATATGCACACAGACACACAAACAGACACACAGAGACACACACAGACATACAGAGACACACACAGAACACACACAGACACCCACACAGACACACACAGACAGACACACACAGTCACACACAGACACATACATACGTAGAGACACACACACACACACACACACACACACACACACACACACACACACGATGTTGGCAGAGGACTATTTCGTCTTAGGTAAGTTGTACCTCCATGGCTTTATGAATGAATGGTTCCTGGCCCTGTGATATGTACAATGCTTCATATGAAGGTCATAAATCAACAGCGATTTCGTCAAAACGGACATTTTATATTTTTTGAACGAAATTGAAATTGTTATTTTCATGTTGATTTTGGTGAATTTTTACGTTTTGAGTGCACCATTTTGGATAGGTACCCCGCATTTGTTTATAACCTGTGCTCATGTTCACCACAAGTTTTGCATTGCTTTCTCACACATTTTGGGGGGTGTTACAGTTTCATTCGCATTACATGAAGCTATAGGGGTCTTTATGATGGGTTTTATTGTACTTTTCTATCACATCGATTAACATTTACTATGTTTCGCAATATAA